ATCATTCGTGAGTGCTGCTGTGCTACGTGTATCTTGTTTATCGTCGCCTATGGTCTTCTGTTGAAGCTGTATACCATTCGGGTTGAGTTGACCCCCCTAGGGCAGTAAAGGAACGAGAAATCTCACATAAGGAAGGGTTTCTAAATAGCTATATCAATCTCGTTCTGTCATCGGCTAGCTCTAGGAGAACAAGTGAACCAAGAAGTACTTCGAAAGAAACACGAGAACACCCTGCAGCGCGGGAAAGAGGTACTACACTCAGCCATCGCCGGTATATTTGTTTGGCTTCTACTAGACGTCAACTTGCTCCCGATTTCTTTCGCGTCTTTTTCGTTTTTCTTTCAATCTTGAAGCCGTATCCGACAGATATCGCACCGCGAGAGACAGTAAGTTTCTCCCGGAGGCTTCTGACACCAAGGCGAAAAGAGTAGGTAGGTAGGTCAGGGAGCTGACGTTGGAAGACAGTCGCGACTTTGAGCATCATGGCCATATCGCAGAGGCGCACAGCATGTACAACGCTTTTTAGAAACAGCGTTAAGAATACGTCAACCGTGAAACGGGACGAATAAAGGAGTTTGGTCAAGAACCCGATGCTGCCCACTTGGCTGGTATGCCACAAGCCCAGAACCGTCCCAAGGTCAACATGGCAAGGGACACTGGTTGACTAGCAAAGCAACCAATTTCTAGCTACTACGCTCTCGACGCCTTGCCCACACGATATGTATGATGGACTTACCAAGGAGACACTCATACTATCTGTGCCACCTGCGGGAGACTCCTACATGCCACTGGTCCGCCTACCCCGATTGGACCGGAGACACACCACGGCCTCGGGCCCGATGGTGGAGATATCTCGGAGGCCAGATGACCGATAGTCGCGCAACCCACTCGCATGCCCGCCCATCAGACGACGCGATCTCCTTCGGAGACCCGGGCCAAACAGCCCAACGCTCGGGAAAGATCGCGTGGAATCTTGCACAACATCGGCAAGCTAAGGGGAAGATACCTAGGGTAAAACTTTCCTCATCCATCGTACAGCGTCCCGCGAGCCATGTGCGACGCCGCATCCCGTCCATTCGGTCGGGCGGTGGCACATGTCCTCCCCCTCTCTTTACCGCAAGTAAGGAAGAGCTCAGCGCAACTTGCCACAGTACCTGTTTGTTTCCGTGGACCAATCTCGGAGAGAGCTGAGAGGGAAGCGTGTCAGTCTCCCGCAGCAGGTTCCGCGCCGGACCCGACGTTGAACGACCGGTTACTCCGCTCACTATTGTAAGAAAGCCCTCGGTACTGTTGATACTGTTGCACGGCGTGCTATATCACTGCAGGTAACCGCGTACGGGAGTGGACCAAAGGGCCCGTCTTTTGCGGCCGTCTGGAATATGATAGCCACTACCCGGCTTGGCTCGGACGAGTGATGGTGCCGGTGTGAACATGAAGGCCCCGAAAACAGGGATGGGTACGGATACAGATACAAACTTTAAGAGAAGAGCCAGCGGCAATGCTCCATCTGCAGAGTCACATTGCGAAGTGAATGCCTTTGTCAAGTCTCGTTTGGTATCTCGGCCAGGAAGGTCGCCTCGGTAGTGGAAGCGGTCGGTACAGCCATAGTGTCGTCTCTCTCACCAATGGTCAGTTGACGGCCATAAGCGGGGAATAACTCACCTCTTAAGGCTCCACATGTCCAGGAATGGCTTCCGTTCACATGGATAAAAATGAGGACTTCCAAGTTGGAACTGAGCAGGAGGCTGTGAGCTATATCCAGTGGGTTCGGTGAAGTTGGGACTGCCTAGAATGGCGGGCCATTGGACTGGGATACCTGTCTTCTTGGTCTCTTTGAGGAATCTGGCCGCCTCGAGGTGCTGTGCTATTGGGGGCCAACTCATTGCAGTGGCTAGATCGAGCGGCCGACTAACCTGGGCCTGACGATTTATTGAAATGATTTAATTGGCATCACGTTTGATCATTTTCTCCGATGACTGTGGCTTAAACCAGCGCAGAGTTAGTTACTGAACCTCGCTAATCGCTCGCGGAAGACGTCTTGGCCTCCCGGCCTCGGCAGGATACACTAATTAGATGAGAGTGATCCGTGGCATGAAATTGATGAGTGCGGGGATGGAGATTTGGTTCCGTTCATCTCACCGCAACTGATGCGTGGTCCATCATCTAGGATGGGGCGTCCCCGTCAGACTTCAGTGGACAAACTCGGGGTCATGCCCGGTCTTGGCCACGCCATTCGCAAGCCCCTTCGGGCCCTGGGATTGTACCCACGGGTGGAGGAGAATGGGTCCTGCAAGATATCACCGATGGGCCGGCCAGTGTGGCCTCATCGGGAGTGCTTCGCGCCATTGCCTTTTGACCTGCAGCGTCTGCATCGCTTGCAGCGCTCGTGGTGCGCCGTCTGCTGCAGCTAGAACTTGATCGAAGTACTTGCATTGCCTTTTTCACGATCAATTGGCGCTGCGATTCGTCGCGGTTGTCGCACAGGGCCCGCCAGAACGGACAACGAGATAGAGACGGTCTGTCTCTGGTAAAATGATCGTCGCCCGTCATTCTGCCGCTAGACTCTACGGGCGATGGCGTTGTGAATAGTCACGCTGCCGACTAGAACACGACGCCAGGAACCCACAACCCTTGATCGTGGGGCGACAGAAGATGCTGTGCAAGACTGTAAGTGAGTCCTTCGACTCTCGAGAGCCACTTGTTTCGCTCCATGACCGAGAGCGGGCCTCCTGATCTGGCACTGTCGTTCGTGGCTTGCTTGCGCCAGTCTGTGGGCGAAAACGGGGGGCCGCGCAACTGGTGAGGCAATCGGCGAAAACTCTCGATAATTTCCACTTCCCGCCATGCGGAAAACGTTGGCCAAACACACCATGTTCGAGATTTCCGAAGCAGAGGCTTCTGCTACGTTCTAACTTCTGAGAGACCGCCTGCGATTTCATCTTTGCAGGCCATTGCGAAACAAGGATGCAAACTTGGAATCTCGGGCTGTTTTGCATAGCAATAGTTGTAGTATAGGCCATCGAGGATACGCCATGGCGGCTTTCATGGATCAGACCCTGAATATCCCACTGCTCATTTGTTACGTGTGTGCGTGTGCAGTGTGTTGGCAGGGTCACAACTGGCAGCCAAGCAACAAACCCCTCAGAACGCTGTTGATGGCTGCTATCCAACCCCGAAGCGATCACTACCAAGTCGGTCCGAGGCCAAGAAGATCATGATAGGACAATCTCCACAGAATGCGTCTGATCTTCAGCGATGCTGCCAGGACATCCGCAGAGATCATGGATTTGGCCTTGGAGGAGGCGTCAAGTCGTTGTTCCTTCTGCAGTGTGCAAGGTTGATCCAGTTAGAAGACTGAGATGGGCTGCCCTGCTCTCACATACTGATACTGACTGTTGGGAAGAGCTCGTCGTCCTTGCGTCGATAGGACATCGTATTGCGTTGTGCTGCCAGATCCATCATTCAGATCCAGCGATCAAGGGACACTATCGTGCAAATTAACACAGGCTTGACGGGTCCGTGCCGCGAGACTGTTTGAATCTCGAGAGAGCACATTTCCCTCTGAATCGCGTTGCTGCTCTTAAGAAAAATAAAAAAAATAAAAAAAGGGTCGCGCGCGTTGGTGTGGTCGATTCCCCCGCAAGGCCTGAGAGCGCGCAGCAGGATAAGCGCATGTGAAGCTGCAGCGTTGCAGCGGACGGGATCCAGGCTGAACCAATAATGGCTCGCTATTGCTCCCCCGCACTGCATCAGAAGAAATGATGGATTGAAGCCATCCCAGTTGACCGAGATGAGGAAAAAGGAAGCCCTCTCATGCAGCCGGTCGCGCCTCTGTGCTTGTTGTCATTGCCAGTGGCGGGTGGAACGGACGCGGTGGGCGCGCAATTGTCGAACAAGGTACCACCGTATCAGCCCTTCGACGGATGAACCGATCATCAATAGGTATTGCAAACCGTGCTGGGCTGAGGCTTGGGGGCCAGGTGAGATTGAAACAGCCGACAAAAGAGAAGACCCATGGGCTCGATACCCGCATGGGCTAGTCCAGACGTTGAGCGCGCCTCCTCACAACCGAACAATTTGAGAAGAACTCGGCCCTAGGCGCAAGGAAGTTGCTCAAAGGGCATCACGGGCCCAGAAGCCCGATTGATGAGGGAGAAGGGTGGGACATGTGGTCCGTGGAAGCTCATCGCACTCTGCTTCGGCACGACATCGAGCGGACGGATAGTGTACGGAGTAGAGCCTTCCGCCGGACACGATACTGAGTGCCGAGATACGGCTCATCGAGCAGCAAAGCAGGTGCCATATTTGTCGCCACTGCTGTTGTTCGGTGTGATAAAGTCTCTTGACAAGCATCAGATCGGAGGTCAGCATACCTAAGGCTCGAGCTAACCCGCACAGGCTTGCGACTCTGCACATGGAATTGCTAAGCAATGCCGTCTCTGTAGATGTGGCCCGGCTTGACTGTTCTGATACGTTGCGGAAGACCGATATGCCCGCGTCATCGAGTACTGAGGTTCCGAAGGGGAGCGGCAGCCCCGTTCGGTGATGTCCTGCCAAATCGGGTCACACTCGTGGGGGAGGACGGCGAGTGCTCCGTACCCTTGGGGCTTGATAGTGAATATGTATCCGTACATCGAGATGTTTTGTTCGATGGAATGACTAGTCGAGTTGATTGATGGCCCGTCAAGTCCTTCAGACAGCCCATATGAGCAGAGATAGACTCGCATTGCGGATGGGGTTTCTGTCAGTGCAGGCTGCAGGTGAGCTTGTTTCCATGCTGGTGCGCAGCTTCAAGATAGCGTCATGATCGGGTCTAACAACACAGCGAAAGTTCAGGTCTGACAAAGCCGCGAAAGGAGAAAAGATTTGGCGACTGGGATCCAGGAAGTCTGCCCATGAGATGTCGGGGACAGGGACCGGGGTGTAGTCGGAAATCTTTCATAATTCCCGCGGAGGCTTTGCTCCAGACAGACAAGCTGAAAGTAAAATCTCAATTCTGATTAAGGTAGCCCTGGACTCGTGGAGAAGATGTAGCTGGAAGCTGCCGAAAGTCTGTTGAGGATGATGGGAACTTGACGGACAGCTTGAGCCTTTGGCACACCAAACTCGCAAGAGCGGACGAGCGAGACAACTGCCAGAGCCATGCATGTCTGAACTCTGTCGTCCAGCTCTGCAGGTTGAGACAAAAGAATCACCTTCCTCCAAGCTCCAGGTGGTAGTGGTGACCGCAAGCGTTTCCATGCCCAAGTAATTTTCCTGGCAAGGAAGCACCTGTCAACATGGAAAACACATACCGTACGCGTTGAAGCATCGGCGGTTGAGACTGTCGTTTCAAGCAGACAGCGGCTCGTTTCTATCGAGATGATCGAGCCACCCTTGATCAATCACCCGTCACCTGGCCTGGGCTTTGCCTCGCGCCTGCAGTAGGTGCGAGCCGTTGGCTCCTACTTCCATCCAGGCCTTCTCGGCCAAGGTCATTGCCTGCGAAGCGTCTTGGTAATTGTCTTTGCCCTAGGTGAAGCTTCCTGCCAGGCACAGACGCCAACGGTGCTGATGCCGATGAGCGCCAGCAATGATAAGAGCAGCGAATGAGAAGCAACGGCTGCGGCGTGGTCTAGGAAAGACACGGTAGATATCCGGCTAGAATACTGACTGCACTCGAAAACGGAACGCCGCTCGTTTATTCAACTTCCCGTCCACACTCCACCTTTGCCGTTGTCCTGCAATCTTGTTCGATGCCGCTCAAGATCCAGTCGGACATGATCTGATCTTCTGACCAACCTTGACCCAGTGTGCTTACTTCAGCATCGAGAAATTGAGCGATGACCTGGTGTGGTGCTTGGATGCATCGTCTGTGAACAGGCTTGTTCGATTTTTGCAAAAGCCCAGCAAAGCAGCCTAGGGCCACGGGCATGGGCGCATCATCTATGGTAATTGAGTGCTCCCTGGCAAATCTCGAGATCAATGCGTAAATGGAATGGAAAAGCAACATGAGCTGCAAAAAATCGTGGTGCTCGGGGTATCCGCACTCCCTCTGTGCAACAGCTTCATGCTTTTCTTCAGCGGCCCCATGTGTTCTCGAATACACTTAAATAGCCTGCACCACAGGGCTGAAGTATCTGTCAAACATATGGAGGTTGTGCGTTGCATAGCAAAGAGTATTCGCAGTCAGAAGCAAATTGCTTGCGACGGGGCGTCTCCTTGTTCGTTATGCTGGCGGGCCCTGGCTTGTTTCGATGGTTGCTGACGGGAAACCTTCGCTTCATTTCCAAAGCATGAGCTTCTATCCGTACGAATGGGTTACGATGCGGAGTACGGTAAATTAGCTGGAGCTTTCCGTTGGCCTTCTCCAGCTAGAGAGGCTTGCACCATCTCACCGCAACTCAAGCCAGCTCTTTGTATGTCAAAGGTGCCCGTCGTATGATACATGCTGAGAGCCGCACCGCAGGAGTATCTGCATGCGTACTCTGGATTCATTTATACTTGTACTTGTGCTGGCTTGGTTAGACCTGATATTCCGCATCAGTATCTTTACGAACTTGATCTCGTCTCGCATACTCAAGCCTTCTGCTAGATTGCTAGCATGCGAGCACATCATATCTCATCGGCAGGGGCGCCGGAAAGTTGTAGGGGCCGCAACGCCGCCGCCACATCGCCGCGAGAAGCGATCATGGCCCGTTAGCAAGCATGCTAGTCTGTTGGCCTGCTAGCGTCGTTTCCACCTTACCCCCGTTGTGGTTGCTAGCAAGAACCCGTCTGTAGCCTGTGAGAATCTCGTGTGTGTGTGTCGTGCTTGTTCTGGTTGCTATCGCGCGCTCGAGTAAGTACTGTGCGTAGCTGTTGCCGCCACCTGCGGTGCGAGAAGTACATGTACGAAGTGGGCCGCTCATAGTGTTGCCCCTTTGCATGTAAGTGCTCGTGCATCCCACGTACAACATACCTCAAATGTCTCTCCATTGCCCGTCTCTTGTGTGCTACTGGCGACCCGTTGGTCGTTGGCCGACGACTTGTCTTGTGGACCCCTGACTGATCTCTCGCCGTGGACTAAATATAGTGTGAAAAAGCGAGCTAAGGCTCAAAGTCAAAGGAAGAGCAGAAAGGGCGAGTATGTATGAAGAATGAAGGAGTAAAGAAGGGAAGCTCAAGTGAGGTCATGAGCATTGCAATATCAACAAGCCTCAAGATCAGATCAGATCGGAGGCTGGGCTCTAGCCAACGTCATCAGCGCTGTCAAGAGCGGCCGGTCGAATGAATCAATCGGGCAGGTCGGGGTGTAGCCTAGTGAGCGTACGGATAGGTGATTGTATCCTTACTATGTGCGTGTGCGGTATTACTGTTGTGAATACAGAGTATAGTGCGCGTGTGTATGAAGTCAACGGTCGAATGCCTGAGCGGCACCGAGAGCGACTCCTGGAGACCATGGGTCAGACAAAATCACACGGCACATCTGCCTTCCTTCTGCAAGACGTCGAGGTTCGGATATAACTCACGTATTCCGGGTTTGTTGATAGGGTGTTGCTGATGTCACCAAGCTGCGGAGTCCATCACGAACGGCTTCTCCCCTCCATCTTATGTCTCCCTTGTCGGTGACCACCCGGACGCCTAGGCCTTTCGGATCAAGTGCGGCGGCGGCAATAACTCCAGTATGCTCCAGTCTCCCGTCGAACGAATGGGCCTTGTCTCTTGCGCATGGGGTGGGAGGCGGAGGGCGGACAGAGCAGGCGTGTGAAATGGCCCTGCAATTTTTTTTTCCCTGTCGAAGACAGGGGACGCCATCCCTTCCGATATGCAGGTAGCATTACCTCACCATCTCTAGCATGGCAAAGCCACCATGGTGGGGCACTTTGTCAAGTTGAATACGGAGAAGCGTTCCCTTCTGCCCCTTCGTATCCGCCGATTATCACACGTAACCGGTGACTGACGACTGCACTCGCGCCGCAGTCTGCACTGCAGAAGGGGGAGAGACAGCTCCAGAGACAAGATTGAGGCGAACCAGATGGTGATTGGCCGGGAATGTTGGCGAGGCATGTTGTTGTACCGCCGTGGCGGTCTGTCGTCTAGTACGCCGAGAGATGCATCGACAAGCTAGGTAGATACTCTGGCTGGTGAATCCAGAGACGGTCCAGAAAAGTGCGAAAGAATCTAAGTAGGTAGTATACATGCGTTCCTTGGTGGGATCTAGTGATGGGCTGATGACATTGGTCGAGCCGAAGAATCTGCATTTCGTCCCATCGTGTAGGACTCTGGAGCCTAGTAGGTTTGGGTGTGGGTGTGTGCATCGATCCCGAAGAACTGGCACTCTGCTGGATTTCAGCACTTGGGCACTTGCTTGGGTAGCTTGTACATCCATACAGTGCTGTCGTGTACCAAGCGTAAGGGTCCTCTGGCGAGGGAGGCTGAAGAGGCGTATGGCTACCGTGAAGACTCGGCAGTGTGAGGTCAGATAACCTAGCACGGGCGAGCTTGGAAGCGCGAACGTTGAGGTGTTTCGTTTCCGCCTCCTTGGACGTTTGTTTGACGCGCGATGGATCGACGTTGCGTGTTGAACAAGTCTCCGAAGCGGTGTTGCATCTTTGGGTCTTTGGGTCTTTGGTTTGAAGGTCGAGCATCCCATCTTTCTCATCTGACAGTGCCCGGACCTATGCCCGGTGCCGCGTGGGAATGGCGGTTGCAGGTAACGGTGTTGTTCTCTGCATGTACAAGAATTGAGATGATCATGTTGAGCGCGCTGCTAGGTATTCGAAAGTTGTAGGGAGTATGAGGTGGTTGTATCTGCAGCGCTCTTGCTTTTGCACCTGTGCCATCCATCTCTTTGGCGATGCTGAAGCCTTAAGGGGTAGCTTACGTGCCTACCTACCCGTACGCTGCGTTTACGAAGTAGCAGTGAATAGGTAGGGACGGGCGCGGCATTGGTGGACCGGCACGGTGAGTGGTGGATTGAATGTTGTGGTTGTGTTTTTGTTGTTCCCGAATCCCTTGGGGCTTCCTCATTCGGGACACCAGGCACACAGGAAGGAGGCACTCGTGGCATTCTGAGCGCGGCGAGCATTTCCAGTCGCCCAGGAGCAAGGGGTAGCGTGGTCGTGATTCGCCACTTTTCGTTCGTCCAGCCAATGACAGATTGCCAAAATTCTCCAAGCCACCTACTGTGTAGGAATACGTCCTCACGTCCTTCCCAGGAGACCAAGGGACGCGTCCTGGCCATTCCTGTTTGGGTTATTTTCGGAGGGTATTTGGGGGGTCCGCCCTGTGTGTAGGCGACATGGAGAAGGAGGAGAATAACAAGTGGAAGGGTATAGTCTCACACATGGCTGCTCAACCTCGATTCCTACATACCTTCCAGAGTACGTACATTGATACATGGAAGGAGCTCTCCTGAGTCCACAGCTATGTCCCCGAAACGTTGATGGCCAGCCTTGTGATATCTTATCTGAGATCACGATGAAGCAAGCACAACTGACGCTTTACCCATCATATTGACATAGTCTGTTTTTTTTCTTCTTTTTCACTGCTTATGCTTTCCTTCTTAGAAGTAGGCACTGTAGGAAGTTGAGGGTCAAGTTGTGAAAAGGCAGCGAGCATATAGGACACTGAAGTGTTCCTCGACGTACTACGGATGGATAGGAGAGAAAAGTATCCGTACATTGGACCGCACTTGTAGGACTAGACTGGACCAGTCAGATACGATGGCGTTGGGCCGGGGCACCCAGTCTGCCGCAACGAAAACACAGGGTACATGGGATTAAGGGTAGGGGACCTGCCTAGGATCAAGGCCATGGTGGATTGTGTGATTGTGCATTTACAAGCAAGCGCATGTATCCCTATCCGCATGAATGGGCGGCGTGGGTACTTTAATGATCCATTTCCTGCACTAGGTACGGAGTACTGTGTACGCAGTATGGTCTCCAGGAAAGTGGAACTCCATCGTCGCCTGGCTCCAGCAGACCAATGCAGCACCATGGGCCATCGGTACGATACCACAAACCTTCCCATTTGGCAATCTCCATTTCGACCCTTCACTGCGCCTGCCCACCCCGAACCGCCATTTTGCCTGAGAGAAACCTCCTTCTCCTCCTCCTCTCCTCCTAGGAATTCCCTCTCACCACACCCGACTTGCTCTCTCTGTATCCCCTCAAAAAAATCCCATCTCTTCTCTTCCCTTTCGTTCCCCCTTCTTCCTTCTATTCTTCCCCCATCTGCCGCCTCTCTGCCCCCAATTGCATCGTCGTTCCCCTAAATCCCAACCCACATCACCAACGTACCCCCTTTTCCCTCCCCCCCAAAACAATTAACGGAATCCCTAAGAGGTTGTCTGACTCTCAGGGTCCCCTTCCCGACTTGGATCCATATTCTCTTCCCCCGTCTCTTCGTTGCCAACCCCGAATCGCACTTTGCATCTCCGTTACTGCCGCCTTCTTTCCTTTCCACGTCTCGCCCGTTCGTCCTTCCGATAACAAGGAGAAAAAGAAAGCAACCGAAAAAAACAGACAAACACAAACCGCACTCTCTACACGCTGATCGACTGCAACTTCTTCTTTTTGTGACCCGAGATCTTGATACACCCTCCATCTCAAAACCCGAATAAAAGACGAGCTTCAGGTTTACGTGGCTGACTCGTCACCACCTCATCCCGTCCCCGACGATTCTCTAGCTACAATTTCGAGCCGGATACGAGTGCTTCACATCCCCATGTTCCCGGTCGACTGCTAGCTTTGCTTCGAGTTGTCTCGGTGACACTCGATCTTGCCTCCCTTTGGTCGATTCCTACATCGTCCCGTACGAGTGCTCCCCAACAGCCCCTTCGCAGTAGACGCGAACCATCATCTTTATTCTCAGTACGACGATACTCTCGCTGTAACCCCTGGCCGCAGGCGACCTTCGTTTCCACAATCGCTATCTGTTTTCAACCACAGCTTCCTTCTTTCTAGAAAGAAGTCAGTCGTTTTTGGGACAGATTAACTATTCTTCCATTTTCTACCTTCGTATAAAAGA